GCAGGCAGGCTCGAATCCTCGTCACAGCCACAACGTACGCGGAGGCACTGCAATTCCAAGTCGCGGAGATGAGTCGCGCAAGTGCCAAGGGGAATCCTGCGGCGGCAGCGGCCGCGCGCGTCTTCGAGGCGCGGCCCAGGGAACGAAGCCATCGGCGCCGAGAGACGTCGCGCGGAAGCGATCCCGAGAGGCACTCTGGCTAGAACGCAGAAAGCGAAACATGCGCCGCCGGCGCGCCGCGCCGTGCCGTTCCGCGCCCGCGCGCCGAGCCGCGCCGCGCCGAGCCACGCCGCGCCTACGCCGCATGCGCCGTGCCGCGCCGCGCCGCGCTTCGGTTCTAGACAAGCCGCCCGCGTGCCGAGAGAGGAAAAGAAGGACCTGGGGAAATAGTAAAAAACACACGCACACACACACAAAACAAAACGAAACAATACAAACCAAACCCAACCAACAAAAAAAGAAACGGTCCGCGCCGCGACCGCGCGCCGCGCGTCGTGCCACGCCGGGATTCCAGAGCGCAAACAGCGCACCGCGCCGCGCCGCGCCTGCGCTTCGCGCCGCGCCCAAGGGCTGCACCGCGAAGAGACAGGCGCCGCGCCGCGCCAAGCGCCGTGGCGCGACGCGCCGGTGCCGCGCGCCGCGCCGCGCCAAGGTCCTATTGGGCGTCGCATATCACGCAGCTCCACTGGGGGGTGGCGGAAGCGGGGGGTGGCAACCAAACCGCCGCTGAGACAGCAAAAGGTCGTTCAAAACACAACCAAACGCACTTACTTGCACAACGATGCGCAACAGCAGTGGAACCTCCCATCGGGAAAGGGCGCCACGCAAAACCAAGTTGGCACAGCGGAGCCGTAGAGTGGGCAGTTCGGAACAATATCCTGGCGCAACCGCGCACCATTATAACACATTGCGGCGCAGACGCTTCGTGACATCAAACCATTGAAACGCTGCCAGCGGCCAAATCGGAACCGTCCGGGGAATAGCCCAAAGGCCGACTCGCGTGCAAGACCAGAGCGCTGCGGGGCCTGCAAGCAAGAGAAACCGCGTTGCTGACGCTTGTGAAGCGAAAACGGGCGCGGCATTGATGCCATGGGCCACTTGGGCGGTGCCCTGGTGAACTCTCTGCCAGAGCGAGCGTTCAAGAAGAGTGCTGAAATGGTGTCTTACTGCGCGCGTGCGAAAGCGGAGCGGTTTCTCTGGGTGGATCACGCCGCAAAGAACGCTCGCGGCCGCATCGGGCATAGGGTCTCGCTATGCGAATGTGCGCGTTCCTTTCTCCAAACCATCCTGTGGTGTTAGGCCCTCGTTTTGAGGAGACGGTGCCCGGCGCTCCTTCCACCTGTCCTCCTTGTCCCCCTCCTCCCGTCCCCCTCCTCCACCATGCGCCTCCCGCGCCCAGGAGAACGCTTCGGGGCCCCATGGGGCTCAACGAAAGCCCCATCGGCTGCACTCGCAAGCGGTTCCCCCATCCAGGACTGCGTTTCGCGTCTCCACAGAGGTTCCCATCGAAAGCCCCAATGGCTGCACTCGCATGGGTCTCCCCACTCAGGACAGCGCTACGTGGCCTCGTAGGGAGCCCCACCGACGGCTCCAGTGGCTGCACTCGCCTGCGGTTCCTCCACCCAGGGCAGCGCTACGTGGCCCCGTCGAGAGCTCTAATGAAGACCCTGGTGGCTGCACTCGCGTGCGGTTCCCCCACGCGTTTCGTGGCCCCGTCGGGAGCTCCGCCGAAAGCCGCAGTGGCTGCACTCGCGTGCTGTTCCCCCACTCAGACAAACGTTCCGTGGCTCTGTAGGGGTCTCCACCGAAGGCCCCAGTGGCTGCACTCGCGCGGGGTCCCCCCACCCAGGGCAGCGCTACGCAGCCCCATAGGGAGCTCCACCGAAGGCCCCGGTGGCTGCACTCGCATGCGGCTCCCCTTCTCAGGACGCGTTTCGTGGCCTTATCGGGAGCTCCACCGAAGGCCCCAATGGCTGCACTCGCATGCGGGTCCCCCACCGGGGACAGCGTTTCGTGGCCCCATACGGGGTTTCTTACTCATCCTACTGCCCCTCCTCCTCCTGCTCCTCCTCCCCCCCTGCTCCTCCTCCATCCTTGTTTGTGCCACCCTCCCTCTCGCGCCCTCTCCTCCCAATGGCCGTGACGGGACTGCAGGCGGCGCACATCATGTTTTTTTCGCAACGGAAACTTGGAAAATTAGCCTGGCAATGGAGCCAACCATATGCAGGTGTGGGTTACGCAATGTTGGATATCGTCTTCGATGGAGCTCCCGATGGGCCCACGAAACGCTGTCCTGGGTGGGAGAACCGTACGCGAGTGCAGCCATTGGGGCCTTCGGTGGACCTCCCGATTGAGCCGAGAAACGCGGTTCTGGGCAGGGGAGCCACATGCGAGTGCAGCCACCAGGGTCTTCGGTGGAGCTCCCGGCCACGAAACGCTGTCCTGGGCGGAGGAACCGCATGTGAGTGCAGCCACTGGAGCCTCCAGTGGAGCTCCCTACGGGGCCACGAAACGCTGTCTGGGTTGGGGGGACCGCATGCGAGTGCAGCCACTGTGGCCTTCGGTGGGACATCCGATAGGGACACAAAGCGCTGTCCTGGGTGGGGGAACTGCATGCGCGTGCAGCCGCTGGGGCCTTCGGCGGAGTAACACGAGCGGTCAGCAGGGAGGAACAGGAGGAGGAGGATCAGGATGAGGAGAAGCTAGGTGGGGTGGAAAGTGAGGAGTGAGGAGCACGAGGAGCACGATGAGATCCATGGGAACCCTATTCCCGATGAAGTGGAATAGCAGGCAGGAAAATCTTAACTGGCTTGGGACTGCGCGGCATTCCCAAAAAGGTATTTTGAGAGGGGAGCGGGGCCCCAACACGCCGGCGGATACTATGAAACTCTCGTTTTGAGGCGAATTGAGAAACATTGAGACGGATTGAAAGAAATCGAAATCTTTTGAGAGAAATTGAAATGTAACTCGCCGTTCAAACCGTGGATTAAGAGGAACTGAGACGAGAAAGGCGGTCCAGTTGAGGACAATTGAGACCGTTTGCGGTGTCCAATGGAAGTTTTCGAAAGGGTTTGATGGCAATACGATTTGGGAGAATGAGGGAAGCAGCAGAAGGATGGGCGGCAGGGGAAGCAGACGGCGAGAACCCGATGGCATGGACCTTGGCAACTGGAGCCAAAACATATTTCCCAAACGAGGGCAAACGGTGGAGGATGCACATGCCACAGGGCCTTGTGATCGTTAGGGGCGCGCTAGAATGCCAAGGGCTGCCTGGCAGGGTTTCTGCAAGTCTTCTCAGGGGTTGCCACCGCCCCTCTCGCCCCAGAGCGGCGCATGCATCGGGCCCCGCTTCCCCAGTGAAGAACGACAAATGTTCACTCCCGCAACAAGGATCCTCCGTGGAAGTACATCAGGTCCACGCTCTCGCGGCAACGATTCCTCGCAAATTTGCCGGGAGATGGACCTCACCATATGCAGCTGTGGGTTCCCCAATTGTGAATATTGCATCTTCGATGCAGCTCCACACGGGTCCACGAAGCGCTGTCCTGGGTGGGGGAACCGCATGCGAGTGCAGCCACCGGGGCCTTCGGTGGAGCTCCCGATCGAGCCGAGAAACGCGGCCCTGGGCAGGGGAACCGCATGCGAGTGCAGCCATTGAGGCCTTGGGTGGAGCTCCCTACGGGGCTGCGAAACGCTGTTCTGGGTGGGGGGGACCGCATCCGAGTGCAGCCGCCAAGGCATGCAGTGGAATCCCCGCTTGAGCCGAAACACTTAGTCCTGGGCGGGGGCACCGCATGCGAGTGCAGCCACTTGGCCTTCGATGGAGTTTCCGATTGAGCCGAGAAGCGCGATCCTGGGCGGAGGGAACCGCATGCGAGTGCAGCCGCTGGGGCCTCGTCGGAGCTCCCGACGGGGCCACGAAGCGCTGTCCTGGGCGGAGGGAGCCGCATGCAAGTCCGGACGCAAGGGCCTTCGGCGGAACTTCCGATGAGGCCACGAAGCGCTGGCGTGCGAGTGCAGCCCTAGGGGCCTTCTGCGGGGCTCCCCATGGGGCCACGAAGCGCTGTCCTGGGTCGGAGGACCACGTTGGAGGGTGAAAGAGGGGGTCTGCAACAGGGGGTCTTCAATGGGGGCTGAATGGCCCATGTATGCTCAATGTATCGCTCATGTATGTGATCGGGTACGATTGGCATCCAATGCTGGCGGTCATTGGTGGCCAGTCATTCGTGCCCGCGCGTTGCCCGCGCGGGCGCACGCGCCGTCCATCCATTATCGTTCATGCGTGCGGGCGTTCTTGCATATTGCGCGTGGGTCGGCGAAGTGGAGTGCAAGTGTGTCTTGATTGTGCGGTTGATGATCGCGTATGTTCCCAAACGATGACTTCTCGACCCCCAAGACAGATTTGGAATGGGCCCCGCGATTCTTCCAAAATGTGAATTCACATTTTCCTTTTTCCCAAAATGTGAATTCACATTTTCCTTTTTCCCAAAATGTGAATTCACATTCTGGCCCCTTCATAAAGAATCCTACACAAAATTCCAAAATGTGAATTCACATTTTCCTTTTTCCCAAAATGTGAATTCACATTTTCCTTTTTCCCAAAATGTGAATTCACATTTTGCTTTTCCCCACAATGTGAATTCACATTTTGCCCCGGCCTTCGAGATCCCCAAAACTGTGGCGCAGTGTTCCGCATGCCAGATTGGCTGGGCAGATTTCGACACTCACCCGACCGCTTTCGTGTGTTCCAGCCTGTTCTTGTTGCGCCCTTAGCGCACGTTGCCTTCGTCGCCTTTCCCGAGCCCCCCGCCCCCTTGCTTCCTTTCCCCTCAAGTCTCGCGCGCGGGTGCAGGCGGGGGGCTTCAATTAGTTCCCCCGCCGAACACAGCAATCGAGGACGCATCGCCCATTCATGACTTTAAAAAACATCATTGCCGGGACCCTGCGCCCGACCCCCACTTTCACCCTCCAACCACGAAGCCACCCTACCGAACCCCCTTTTCCGGATTAGTGCTAGTGCGAGCGTCTTGCAGCATATAGCAGGCGCCAGCGCTTAACCTCCACGCCCAAGCGGGCGCTGCGGGAAAGCGCCAGCTTCTCCGAGCCGCCCAGATTGACTACGATCTGTTACCTAAGTGGAAGGCCTTCGCAAGGTTCCTCAATGCTGCAGCGAGGGTTCGATGCTCAGACTTGGCGCGACGAAGATTGCCGCGAAATTGGCTGCCTATCTCATCGACCGGGGCAATCGCATCTCGTGTCGATCGACCTTGAAGGGCTCCAAACTGCTCGGTTCAACATCGGCCCGCCGTCGACCGACGCCCCAGCATGATGGTCGCAGTCGCGAAAGCCTTCCCGATGTGCCCGATGAGATCGATGACCCCACGGTGGCCCTTAGCGCCCACCCCGCCGTCTTCGAAGAGAAACCGCCTCACCATTCCAACCGTTGGGGAACTCGACGAAAAGCTTGAGCGGACTGGGGGAATCCAAGATTCCCCTACGAGGTCGGCACTCAGCTTCCATAGTTCAACTACGGCGCCTTCAGGATCCTGAAAGGGGCCTGTTGAAGTCGAGGGGTCCGTCCACTGGAGTGCGGGGGCGCCCTTGAAATTGGAGGGCTTGTCGAGGGCCTGCGCGACATCTTCTACGCCGCACCTACCAATGATCTACTCGCCGGGGCCCACCAGGATGCGCCCGGGGCCTTCGTCCTCGTTAATGGGCAACTCTGCGGCCTGAAAAAAGGGCCCATGAAGCTTTGGCCCGAACCTGCTGGTCCTCGGAGTCGTCGAAGCACGGGATGCCCGTGGCTGGGTGGCGGGTCATTCTGGGCTTGGAGGCTAGCCGCTTGAGCATGAAATAGAAGCGCCGGTTAACACGCACTGCGTCTGCACGTTCTGCGTCGGGAACAAGGGCACGGATACGTTGGCGTTTCCCCGAACGCACTGCGTGCCTGGCAAGCTTCGCTGCTTTGCGGAACTCCGTTCGGATAGACCTGTACAGCCAAGACTGGATTCAATATTGCGGGAAGCGCGATCTGGAACTATTGATTTTGTCAACTCAGTGCCAAGGTGTCATCGGTCATGTCTTCCTGTGGGGCCGCTTTCGTACTGTCCACGTAGATAGGAGGAGCGGCATCAAAAACTGCGCCTTCGAGAGAATAGGGATAACTGAATGTCGTCGAACACTGCTTACTAGACCGACAATATGCTTGTCAGTTCCCGTGGAGTCCTCGGGCCCGTAGTTGGCGGCGAAATCGAATGCGAAAGTCCCTGATGCGATCTGGGACATCGTCCGTGTGATGTATAGCCTGAAGGTCACGTAGCAGCAACTCGCGATTCCACCGAAGGGGAGGGTCTTGCCGAGAATGTTTGCAGCGAAACCGAACTGAAATGCGAGCCTCAATCGGACGGCAGTCACGGAATCTTCCAATGCGAACTGGAAGGGACCGAAGAACTTCGGCGCCATGGCCACATTCACCCTGCAGCCGTCCGCAAAATAATCGATATGTTTCCACGTTGTTCCATCTGTGCGAAGCCAAGTTCCGACATGTTTCTCCCTACTGCCGTGGGTGTTCAACGCGGTCAGGCCTCTATTCTGGAGGATCGAGAGAAAGTGGCCGCCGTTGTGGCTAGTGTTGCGGGGATGGCGGTCGACCCCTGCATGCCCGACGTTGGGCAATTCGGAGACCGCGGTGCCATTGGCATCCAAACACCATATCAGTTGAGATCTCTGGGGTACCCGTTGGGTAATGAGTATTATCGCACGCTTGCCAAAATATATCCTGCGCCTGCCGACGCTCTGCGCGCATTTGTTCTCACTATGCCGCTGCAGAGCGCTGCGAAGCAGTGTTGGTGGGCGCGTGCCCGTTCAAAATGTAGAGGTCGCGCGCTCAGGCTCCATCTCTTCGAACTCTGAGTCCTCGCAGTCGTCCTGGGTTGCATTCGTAGACGCATCGAATTCAAGCGGGCTGAAGAAGAAGATATTGAGTGCCGTCAAACACCCGTCTTTTGCTCGAGCTGGTGTAGGGGGGCGTACAAGAGTGAGGGGCCGCATAGCATGGCTCGAGGCGTGTGCACTGCGATGGCGCCGATCCTCGAAGGGAGAGTCCTTAGACATGCGATGCCCTGATTTGTTCAATACGCGGCCCCTGGACATCCCGACACACTTCCTCCTCCTCCTCCTCCTCCTCGTCCTCCTCCTCCACCTGACGCTGTCGAAGTAGGCATCGGAGTCCCTCCGGGGACGCTGCCATCCCTCCCCCCCTCATCCTTCCCTCCCTCCCTCCCTCCCTCCGCCGAGCCGGGGAACTTCGGAACGACGCCAGGATGGAACCAGAACGCCCCTTCAGAACGCTCCTCCTCCTCCTCCTTCTCCTCCTCCTCCTCCTCCTCCTTCTCCTCCTCCTCCTCCTCCTCCTCCTCCTCCTAGCTTTCCCCCCAGGGCGGGCTGTCCATCCCGGGTCGTTTGTTGACGGTCCCGGGGCCCAGCGAGGTCCCTCAGGAGACCGAAAACTACGAAAGACCTCCGTCTCGGGGTCCTCAACACGCTGGAGGCGTGGATGCGCGGCGCTTCCCTCGATCCTCGAAGGCGAGGTCCTCTGCTGGTGCGCCAGAGATGTGCTCCGAGGGCCTCCTCGCGGAGGCACATTTTTCGGCACGCACGGCGGACGGCCACGACGGTAGGGTGAAGCAATCCATGGACACTCCCCCGCTCCCCCAAACTCAAAGTTGGCACGCGCGGGGGAGACTGCGGTCGAAGTGGAACTCATCAGACCCACCACAAACTTTGAACACTGGGGGCAGGGGACCACGTTGACCGATGAATGTGACATATGTGTTCGCTATGTTCCCGAGGCCTGGACCCCTGGCTAACAGCACTACTGTGCACGTGGCCGCGCTCTCACCCATGTCCCGGCTGCATATGCCTTCTTTCTCAGACCCTCCTGGCCGTGCTTCTCCCACTTGAGGGTTGCAAAGGGGGTTTTGGGGGAGGGGGTTTTCCATGAGGTGTCCCCCAGGGGCTTCGGAACATCGTCGAAACAGAGGGTGCGAAGCCCCTGGGGGACCCCCTGGAAAACACCCTCCCCCAAAACCCCCTTTGGAACCCCCCGGTCCCACTCCTGGGCCCGTCTCTGCACTTTTGCTGCAAGCAGGGCGCCTTGCTGGGGCCAAGCTCCCACGACGAGAGGAGGTCTGGGGACCCCCGCTGCGCGGTGCTTGCTCTGCGCCGCGACCACTGTGGTCCCCGAGCCCCCGTCCGAGCCCGAGCTCGAGCCCGAGCTCGAGCACGAGCACGAGCCCGAGCACGAGCCCGAGCACGAGCCCGAGCCCGAGCTAGAGCCCGGACCCGAGCACCCGAGCACGAGAGCCCGTCCGAGAGCCTCCTCGCGGAGGCGCCCAGGGGGGCCGCCGCGGGGCGACGCGGCGCCGCCGCCGGGCCCGCCGCCGGGCGCCGCCAGGGGGGCCGTGGCCGCCCGAGGCCCCCCCGGGGGCGCCATCTTTCGGCGCGCGGCCCTGGGGAGCGGCGGCGGCTGCGGGCGGCTGCCGCTCGAGGGTGCCGAGGCGGCGCGGCGGAGGTCGTCGGCCCAGAGCTCTGAAGGGAAGTCTGGTTCCATGCTGGCGTCGTTCCACAGTTCCCCAGCTCGGCGGAGGGAGGGAGGGAGGGAGGGAGGGAAGGATGAGGGGGGGAGGGATGGCAGCGTCCCCGGAGGGACTAGCGTCAGGCGGAGGAGGAGGAAGAGGAGGAGGAGGAGAAAGGGGAGAGAGAGGAGAGAGAGGAGGACTTGAGCTAATATTGCTGCGGGGCGCCTTAATCCCGTTAGCCGGATGATGCGGAGTGGGGGAGGCAGCTGGTGCGGGGGAAACTTGAGGATATGTTAGTGTGGTGCGAATCATGAGCCCGTATCCTGAGGAAGCACTAGCAAAGCATGAGATGTGATCATGGGGCTATAAGTGTACGTGGGGATGTGTTTAACAATTTGCACCTGTCTATCTTCGGTGGTTCTACTTTGTTTCGCCTTGGAGCCAGCCTGTTGCGCCGACTCCCCAGGGGCCCGCACCGGAGAGTCCACGCGCTCACCTGAGGACCTCCCTCACCTGAGGAAGGACGCGAGGGGAGGAGGAAGGCACGAACTGGGGATCCTCACCAGAAGACCCTCGCATGCCTCCCAGGGGCCCTCACCTGAGGGTCAGCCCTTTTCCCACGAGGGGCGCCACTGGGCTGGGATGGTGCGGGGGAAGAGGACGGCGCGAAAGCGAGAGCCCTCGGCTGAAGGCACGAGTGTCGCCCGTGGCCTTGGATTGCAGGACCACGCCCAGCCCGCCGAAACTACGGAAAGATGGGGCGAGAACAGCGCGTCAAGAAATGTGCAGGGGCCCAGGGACACACAAATAAATACATACAAATCCGAAGGTTCCCTGTATTCTCCTATAGTGTCTCGGTTTTCGTCTTCCCCCCCCCCACTTCCCAGTATCTTCCTGGGACTCGACGATTACTTGTGTTTGTGTGTGTGCTTAGAGGGGGCGGAAGGATGAGGGTGGGCTGACGATCCCCGGAATAGCCGGCGGGGAAGCCGAGCATGCCAGGGGGGCGGGACAGGCAGGAGGAGGGCGGCACGGAGGGAGGGGGCAGGGGGGGGATGGGATGGGGAGGAGAGGAGCGGGTCTGGGAAGAGGGGGGGGGGGGGAAGCGTGGAAGAGGAGGGAAGAGGGGTGAGCGGCCCGAGTTCCAGTGACCTCTTGCCTCGCTAGGCAATGGGCGCCGCGCCTGCAACGCCCGTGTGGACGACTCGGGGCCGTGCAAGCAGGCCAGAGATGAGCTGACACACGGACGCCAACGCCTTTTCAAACACAGGGATGGGCAACCCAGCTCGCACCACACCAGAGAGCCTTCTGAAGGCACTGTGGCGGTGCAGCGGGTGTGCTGGCCGAAGCCGCGGGGACAGGGCAGGGTGACGTGTTCAAGTCCGCCTCCAAGATTGTTCAAACAAGGTGAGGAACTCAGTCACCAACCTCGGCTCACGGGCTGGAGAATCTGGACACGATGGCTTAGGCAAGATCGCCTTGGTTGCTTTGTAAACTCGCCGTCTTGGAACGCGTTTTTGCTGTCCGAAGCAGGCTGGCCAGCATGGCAAAGACAGAGGCCCTTACATCATATGCAAAAAACTTTTCCAGATGGGGATGCTCAAAGAAGGTCCGGAAGCTGCCGACAATTGTTCGACGAAACAGGTAAGACGCTCGCTTCAGTATGACAACTCCAGCTCATGAGCCTCAAAGTTGGCCAGAATGGCAAACATAGAGGTCCATACCTCCTTTTTGAAAGATACATGCTCGGATGCATGGTTCTGGTGAACATCTCATCTCATGAGCCTCGGAAACTGCCTATCTCACACAAGCGTGCAAGGTTACTGAGTTATTGCAGGGGAGATACTACGGCCGAGAAAGAGGTTAAGGATGAGGTGATTCGTTGTAAGTTTGGCTGTCCCGAGCCTGTGCGAATACGACCCCAACGTGTGCCAAGAATAAATATGGCGACGCATGAGGGGCCAACACGTGTGCGGTCAAAACTTCAGTGGCCACAATAGCCATAATCTCAGGACCGCTCTCGGACGGGCTAGCACCCCCAAGCACCTCACCAAAGGGCTCCATGAATGCACAGTGGCGGTGCGGTGTGTCGTGCTGGCCGAAGCTAGCGGGGGCAAAACGACGGCGGCCGGGGAACCGCTATCTCAACCAAGTGCCCGAAGCGTGCGTGGAATGAGAGGGAACGAGGGGGGCGGGGTAATACATGGCACGAGAAGCCCCATCTCCTGTGACCTCGCTCCTTGTTGGGTTCTGCTGTGCCGCGCCTGCAACGGCTGTACGGACGACACGAGGCCGCCCAAGCAGCCCGGACATGAGATGCCAGTCGGACGCCAACGCCTGCTCATCGACAGGAATTGGCATCCCAAGTCACACATCACAAGGGTGCCGCATGAAGGCACAGAGGCGGTGCAGTGGGCGTGCTGACGAAGCCACAGGGGTAGGGTGACGGCGGCTGGGGAACCGCTATCCCGCCCAAGTGTCCTAAGCAGGAGCGTGTGTGTAGGCAGCGGAAAAGGAGGGGGAAAAAGGAGAGAGAGGTGGGGTGAGGAGCCCGAGCTCCAGTGACCTCTTGCCTTTGTAAGTTACAGGGTGCCGCGCCTGCAAGGGCTGTATGAATGACGCGAAGCCGTCCAAGCAGGCCAGATTTGAGCTGACATTTAGATGCCAACGCCTGTTCGTCCACAGGTATGGGTATCCCAGCTAGCACCTCACAAAAAAGTCGCGTGAAGGCACTGTGGCGGCGCAGTGCTCCGTTGAACATGCTTCTACGGTGCGTAGGGGATGGGGTGAAAAAAAATCGAATTGGGGACGTTAGGTTAGGACATGACAGAAAGGGGGTCGAGGGATGGGGGGTGCGGGAGAACAGACGGGGAGGAGGGGGAAACGGGATGGGGGGGGGGGGGAAGAAAGGAACGACTTCGTGCAGGAGAGGCTTGGGCACAAGCCTGCCACGAGAGAGACCACAGGCCCAGAGAGGGGAGGAAGCAGGAAGAGCTTCCTCCGGGCAGGCCGCAGGCCCAACCTTGGAGCTCGGAGACGGGGGGGCGGGAGGAGCGCAGGGCCCCGGAGGCGCCATCCCGCTCCCACCCGGACGCTCTTGCTCGGCCTCCCGGGCCCGCTCTCGGGCCCCCGGGGCCTCGGACACGGGGCTCCGGGGCGGCACGCGGGCATCTGGGGAAGGAGCCGGTTAGAATCGTAGTGCATCCGGAATCCCATTGGAATCTTACTGCGAACGGCATCCGACCCGAATCTTAACTCAATCGGAATAGTATTGGAATCCTATCGTGATCGGAATCGACTTGGAATCCACTTGGCAAGCTACGATCAACGTATTGCTTGTGGGAGCAAATTCGAATACTAGTGCAAACGGAATCATATGGGAGTCCATGGCGATCCGATAGGATCCACATGGAATCCTAGAAGCTCCCATCGGGATCCCGTAGGATTCCACGGGGATTCTATAAGGTTCCATGGGGGTCCTATAAAAATCCATAGGAATCCATAGGGATCTTTAAGGATTGCATAGGAGGTCCTACAGGAGGATCCCATGGGGATCACATTGGGATCCTAA